TATGACAGAGCAGCCCCTCCTGACTATGCTGCTCCGACTCCTCCTCCTCATCGCCGCCGGGATTGAGGCTCACCCGGCGGAGTTCCGGATCCACCAAGGGCTACTTGCCTGCCTGCCCGCAACGAATCGCCTATCCCGGCGGTCAGTTTTCCCTGACGCAGATCAGATTACTGACTCCAACTTCGTCCCTCCCTCCCGACTCGGAGAACGGCATGCTTTTTCTACTTATCAGCATATTTTACTTAATTAATAAGATACAGGACTGAAGACGATTAATTGAAAGCAAACGCATTTGAGTCACGTTAGGATGTCGTCCGCTAAATGTGCGTCTTTGCAACTGCCTGCGAATACAGCACACAGTAAAATAACTACCTAAATAGTGCCAACTTCGTTTCCATTTATTGCCAGGGCCCTTATAAATGCAAATAGGTATTACTGCCCAGATGCACGCACAGATAACTTTTGTATGCGTATTCGGTAGCAAAGCAGGGCTTCTTAAAAGTTTATACACAGACAATAAAAACAAGCCTAGGAACTGTCCAGAATTGGTTGGGGAAGCCGTTTTAAAAGTGAGGAGCTCTAAAGTTCACCTGGTAAGGCTTTCTTGGGAGGTCACCTAATGGGAATAGACTTCCTATAATAACCAGTAGACCGCCTAATAGTGAAAGGTATTGCAGTAATAGTTTTTTATTAACCAATAAGGTTGCTCTAAACGTATTTTGGTCGGCAGGCTTCGTTTCCACCTACGATTTTATTAAAGTAAAACAATGACAAGCGGCTTCAATTTATTTTCTACGGTGCACTTACCGCGCAGTAAACACGCATTAAATTTTTAGTCAGGAATTCCGTAAGGGCGGGGTAGTTTATTTTCAAGCGGCCTCACAAGAAAGCCCTTCCGTTATCCTTTTTACTAAGATAGAAGGACCCCTTAACCACAATATAAAAGTGCATTGCGAAGCAAGATGAAACGAAAATGGCCTACGAGACATGATAAATAGACCACGGACAGAACATGGGACGAATGGGAGCAGCAAGCGATTGGAACAAAGAAAAAAATGCAGAAAAATCGGGAGGAAGGTTTATTTTACAGCTGGAATGGCTCATTTTTACACGGGATCACATTTCACCGCACTGCGATATGACAACTGCAACTTTGGGGCGATTGTGCGGACCGGTAGGAACATTTTCGATCTTCTTCAACACCAGCATACCGTCAACGACTTGACCTGCAAAGAAAAAACATAAGTAAACGTGTTACTGAAAACTAGGCAGTAGTAGTGTTTTAGAACATAAGGTGTAACTTGCAAATGAGCACAACGGACCGAAAACTACATGTTTTCCGTCAAGGAAGTCGCATTGGGCACAGGTGACGAAAAACTGACAGCCATTTGTATCCGTGCCACTATTGGCCTGTAAAGAAGAATAAATTTGGGAAAATAGTGTTAGAAAAAGAGGCAAAATTGATAACTGCGTGGAGTTACGCAATACCAAGGAGAAAATATCTGCACACACCATAGATAGCATTCCGGGTGCATTGTGTTTCATTGTGAAGTTTTCGTCTGCAAATTTGGAACCACCGTAGATGCTGCAGATGCCTGTCCCATCTCCCTGAAAAAAGTTCATATTGGACGAAGTCCTTTTTATTGGTATATTCACTGAACCATTACCAACAATTAAGTGTCGATATTCACCGACGTATGTATTAAAAAAATAAGTTCTTAACAAAGTAATCAAGTTGTACTCGTGAATTTTCACGCTGGGAACACCAAAAGATCATCAAGCAACATGAAAGGAAGGAGTTGGGAATATTGCACTAAGGTGAGAGAGAGAGCCCATGCCGTAATGGTTAGAGCGTTTAACTACTAACTGACAATGTCGCGGGTTCGAACCCGAGACGTCGCCACTCCTGGGTTTGGGTGTGGCTGGCTGATGACGTTTAAGGAGCCAGAAATAGCCATTTCAGCCTCTCCTACTTTTTTAGGTAGCTGGTGGAACGATTGAGTTCCGTAAGCAACCTGCAAGCGTCTGTCTAGCTCTATATGACAGTAGGGCGCCCACTGATGTGGTTGAGGAACATGCTCGGCCCGTTGTGCGTTGGAGCCCAACCAAGGGCCTACGCAGGCAGTCATATAGCGACTTGTAATATATGATGGAGTGGTATCGGAAACGACAAAGGAGACTGGAGTGCCTATTTCTGGCTTATTTGACGTCATCAGTCAGTCATATCCAATCACAGACGGATGACAGCCAATATGCCAGAATTGGTAATTTAGATAGCCCTTGTCTTTGTCAGTTCCACTTCATCCTACCCTACAAGTAGATATGCGACTGCTTGCGAAGGCTCTATAATTAGTTTCAGGGCACAACGGGACATAAACTGCTCGTTAAACAGATCGACTAGCGCTCTTCTCTCATCACATTCCCGAGTGCGATCGACAAAAACAGTAGGCCCGCGGTACAATGGTAGAGTTGTTGTGATCAATATAGTGGACCTACTCAGCTTACGTTTCACACAAAAAAAAGCGGCTTTGTGAATTTTTGCTCCTATGTTGAAAATATCTTTCCAAACTTTTCGGCACAGAAACTGTCTCCATTCAGTAGGAATAAATAAGGCACAGAAACCACACAATGCCCGAAAGTCACAAGGAATGCGTAATAAACAAGGACTGCAGTTGTCGACATACTAAAGAAATACCCTCGAATCTGTCGCAAAATATATACCAAATTAGACTTCTTCAAGTCGCCGCTAGCGTCCCCCGCCGATCATCTCATTATTTTAATTCAAATAAAAGAATACGGAGTAAAACTCGGTTTCTAATGGGCATACTGGGCCAACCGCTGTACATATAAGAACATTTACGTGCAAATGGAGGGACGGAAAACGGCGGCTTCATTTAAAAAGCCCGCGGGTAGCGTAGATATCATTGAACCTGAACCTACTTCAAATTATTACCGTGTCCTGTTATTGAAAGGAGATGGGTGTGAAAGTAATGAAGTGAGGTAGATGCTTCGAAAGTTTTCCACACAGTTAAGATGAGTGATCGCCAGGCAAGTTAAATGCTGCTGGTAGCGCAGCCTACAAACAGCAGTGGACAAAAACGGCCAAGACGGCAATGCGTGGGGAGAGGACTTACGTTGACAAAATCACCGCCCTGAACCATAAAGTCCTTGATAATGCGGTGGAAGGTGGAACCCTTGTAGCCCGTCGGAACACCATCCTTGCGATACTCGCCGGTGCAGAGCTGCCTATACATGCAAATAGATTTTTAGGAGCGCGATAGAAATCGCAGATAGCATTTTATGTCCCTCATTTAAGCCCACAAACGTCACCCGTGAAACTTTCAGTCAAAAACACAAGGTTGGAAAAAATAGACTCAATTTCACGAAATATTAGGGTAGTAAGAAATATAAACTGAATATTCTGAATGGACGAAAATATGCGAGGCCCAGGTAATTGAACAGAAGATGGGAAAGCGTTCTCTGAAACCAGTTGATTACTTGTCCGCCGCTTCAAACTCTCACGCGAGCCCAGTGTCAAGGAATTAATTAAATATACGACTCACTGCATATTTAGCTCAGCTCTATCGCGAGCGACCTTGAGCTCTGCCATCAATTGGTTCGCGCAACGCCAAATAGGCATCCGCAAAATCGACAT